TACGAGTTTCATGTGAAGAAATGACAAAAGATCAGTCTGGGAGTTTTTCTCTTGTATTCTGATGTAATGTTTCGATAGTTACAGAGAATCAGGAAAAAAAAAAAGATTCTGCTGGAACTCTCGATACATTAATCATGTAGCAAATGGTAATGTTTTCCATTACTGACGTATTTAAGGATAAAATGTAAAGTGTCGTTTGACGTGAGAAAAACTTTTACCACTGATTTAGAACCTTGTCACGAGAAAAACGAGAAAAGTATTTGACTCCATGCTTCCTTTGTTCGGGAGGCCCCTCCCCTCCCTCGTTCTGTCCTCTCTCTCTCCCCTCTCTCTCTCTCTCTCTCTCTCGTGAAGAAAGAATTTTTTGTAGAAAATTACATTTATACACACGATAATGTTACTGACATGGAGTCATAGGATCACAGAACTTTGAGTTAGATTATAAAGAGGCATTATTTTATTTTTTATCTCCAAGGCGTCTAGACAAGTTTTTTTTCCCTACATTTTGGTGATATAAAAGTTAGAATGATTTTAGAGAGCATTATACTTTTGGAAAAATAGGGCTTAGGATAGTAGTTGAATGCAGATTTGGTTTTCAGAATTTAATGTTTAAAATGTTAATAGTAATTATTTCATAGGTTTATTTTGAATTGTAATTAATCATTGGTTTGGTATGGTAATTAACACACTTGTTTGTGTTTCTTGTTTGTCTGTTTTTTCCGAGAAAACTTCTGTCTGTTTCATTTGGCCAAAAATCGTCCCTGCCACAAACCACAACCGAGCATCATCATCATCATCATCAGCGTCTCCCCCTCTCCCTGCGGGTCGCAGGGGGCAGCATCGGCTGCAGCAGCTAACAGGAACTCTCGAAGAAGACTCCTCCTGCCTGTGAGGAGGCAAAGAAAAGACCGCAGACTTTTTCACAAACTGAGTGTTGTCCCATCCACGAAACAGAAGGTGGCGGTAATGCGAAGAATAGGCCGCCAACCGCCGGAAAACCAAACAAGAAGAAGAAGGACACGACACATTTGGGTGCGTCAGATATGAAAGAAGAAGAAAGACATTATGAGGAAAAGTTATCGGAAGAAGAAAGAAAGTGATTGTTGAAAGAAGAAGAAAGACATTGTGAGAAAGAGTTATCGGAAGAAGAAAGAAAGTGATTGTTGAAAGAAGAAGAAAAAAGACATGGAGACAAAGACATTGGACACTATGAGACAAAAGACATTGAAAGACGCCATGAGTAAAAGAAAGACATTAACGGACATTTGAGACGTGGCTGGCCTAAATGAGACACACAGAAGGTAAATATACAGACAGGCAACAAACGCACAGAGACATATTAAGTCATATTTACACATTTAGCTAGGTCATTCGTTCATAACACCACATTTAGCTGCATGAAAGAATACAGGACAATCGTTAAAATTAATTAGACTCTTGCTTTAGCATGAGACACAAGGAGATTAGAACAGCAGTATATTTAAAGTAGAGGAGCTCTATTATTGAAACTAGTATTATTATTTAAAGTTATAGACGCGGAGAAGTTTAGAATTATTGATTTTGACTGCATGATCTTGGTAATACGGATATTTAAAGCAGTGTTTTCAACCTCTGAACCGTGGCTCGTTTCTCATTTAAGAACAATCACATGCACAGATGAAACTGGTGCTAGAAAGAGAACTGCAGCTTTTAATGGACGCTGCATTTAGTACAAAATGGTTTGTTCAGACAATTAAAGTTTGAAAAATGATTTAAAGCATTTCTGAATTTTGGCTAAAGGTGATATTGGATCATTTCTGATAACACATAGACGCAACACTGTTCATTGGTTGAAAACAAAGATGTAGGGACATTTTATGAAATCTTTTATGACATGTTTCTCTTCCAAATAGCTAAATTAGAAACAATTAGGACAATTATGTCTTTGATACAACTGTTGGCAGTTTATCTGAGACATGATTGGCGCAAGTACACACACATAAAACAATGGTCTTTTCTCCACATGAACGTGAAACAAAGGTGAAGTATTAAAGTTTGAAACTAATTTACATTTTTAAGGAATCCGAACTGGCTTAAAAAAAAAAAGGGAAAAACATTTATTGCACGTGCATGAGTTTTTTTTTAAGTAACAAGAGCTCATTAAAAATATAGGGGACACAGTTTGTGACAAGCCCGAGTAAAGACCACGTGGTTTAAACACTAAAGTTTGAAATGGATCCTTTTAGGAAAAATCTCTCAAAGCTTTGCATGTTCTGCAGGCTCTGAAAGTTGCAACTATAAAATAGCTCATGAGACAATTGTAATTGGACATGGAAAAATATAACAAAGTTAAAATTACAGGCCTCTTGTGTTGTCTATATGTTTGTGTGTGTTATATGTTTGTGCGTCATGTCCAATACACTACGTTGACCTTAACAAACTGGACCAATACTAACGTCGGCCTGTGTGAGTGGGATGTGAGTGTGATGTGAAATGAGGAGTGGACGAGGAGTGCTGAACGGAGAATGGAATAACAAAAGTTTTCTGTAATGTTTTAATGTGATCATGGAATAATTATTTTTTGTCAACAGCATACGGTGTAAGTACTAGAGATTCAAAGATGACAAGCTTTATTGAACAGGTGTAAAAGTACTCTGAGAAAGTACTCTGAGATGAATACCTTGCTGAAGGTACTGGGAGCCCCTCCCTCTGCTGTTTGTCCGGACAGGGATTCGGTCCAACCGCAGTGAGCGGTCATTGGGCGGAGGACAACTTTGGTTTGTAATTCACATTTAGGGGAGTATAAAATTAGAAACATACATATTGTTAAGTCTGTATTTGGCTACAGCCTCTGCCCTGATGCCACACACCGTCTGTCAATGCAGTTATGTTTTGCCCAATTAGATTGATTGACAGGCCGCACCATGCGAAGAGAGGGAAGTGGGCGTTTCTTGTGTTCTAATGTTTCTTTTTCAGATGAAAGATAAACTGCACCTGCTTCAGGGATAACACAGTAGTATGGATCATGAGGAAATGAGCCTCTACTTTGGCACCAAAGCCCACAATATGAATTGAGGACGATCCGGGAGGAACAACAGGATTGGAACAGTAATCTACACACACACAGATGCATGTTTTATACTTTGGACCACGACCAACAGAGGGGAGTATTGTATTGTCATAGGTGGTCATGGTCCTTAACCTTCTAAATCATTAGAAAGAAGTGTAAAACATATATTTACAAGAACAAATAAATAATAGAAAGGGCAGCCTAAAAAAGCAAAATGGGAAAATTATTAAGTAATTTTCGGAGTTGCCAAAATGAAATAAAATTCTATATTTGTCCCATAGGGGGTCATTCTAAATTTAGTGTTGTGCAAATTTAAAAGGAGAAATAATAGCGCTTATAACATCAAACAGATCTACTCTTTAAGATAATAGATCATACAATAATAGAATAGAATGAAATAGTCTGGAGCTATAATGTCATTGGATTCGAGGAGCTATAGGTTGAAAGGTCGCTAGGAAGAGGTGTCAGAATAAACAATAGTAATAATAGTTAGACTAGTGAATAATCAAAATAGTTCTATTGTGGAAATAAGTATCAATAAGGTCAAATTGTTCTAATAACTAAAGTAAAAAGGAATCAAATGGAGTCAGATTTTAGATGTTTCTGTTTTCCACATCTGTAGGAACTGGTGCAGAGGTGTTTATAGAGAGTAGTATTAAAATGCAGACATAGAACGACAGGCTTTAACACAATTTTAAATCTAAAAATAGCTCAAATATAACATTGCTCTTGACGCAGCCTCTGAGCTGCTCCATTGGAGAACAGGTTAAATGTTATTGTTTATTACAAACAGCTGATGTATTTACACATATTAAGTTTGGGACAAGTCTTTAAACAGTTATAAGCAGCGGACAGAAGCCATGAATGTGCTTTTGTTTATTAAATAATTAAATGCATAGCCTTATAATCGTAGAGAACGTTTTAAAATAGTTAAAATCCCTTTCAGGCAACTTGATTTAGATGTATGTCTTTAATATTGGAGAACGACTGTGTTGTTTTTGGAATTGTCTGAAATACAATACATAGAATAGTGATTTGTCAGCAACAGATTAGAGAATCAAAATACCGTTGTATAGGGACTGACCCCAGAGAAACCTGCTAAAATAGATTAGCTCCTGTAACGATAATACCAATTTGATTAATGATGAAGAATCAGAATGACACAGCGGTGGTCATCAAAGAGTTTTGTGAAGGAATGTTTCGAATGTGGTTTTGTGTTGTATTCTTTCTGTATTGGCTCTTCACAGATATCAAGCCTGAACTAAGCACAAGTATGGATGATAAACGACGATGTGGATTGTGACCTGATTTTTAATCAGGTCAAAAGAGGGAAACTGTTGCATAATTAAAATGTTGTATACTAATGATTTTGAAAATAGGCCTTCTGAAGAAGGTGCACGGGGAAAAGCCCCAAGGACAAAGGAATATGCACTCAGGAATCATAGAGATGACCAGCTTTCAAAACGGGACAAATTATTAACTCCAGGAATAAACAAATGCTCTCTCCCACTCTGGACGAGGGCAAAAGTCCAACACAATCAGGCGCCCAGTGGTGGGGGGCATTGTTTGCTCAGGTGGAGAGGGAAGACCAAGACCGGGTCCAGACCAGGGGCCAGACCAGTCCCAGACTGTGACGTCATCGGACCCTTTGATAGAAACTGCTGGGAGGAGATTGGCAGTCAGTCAGCCGAGGGCCAGGAGAGAGGGACATATATAGTTTTAGGAGCACTTTTTGTTGAACATTCTGTATCTGATTGTAAAGATAATTAAATGCAGATGTTAAACGTGAAGATCTCTTGTCTCGCTCTTGCATCGATTTTGGATACGTCAGTCAAAGGGAATTATTGACTTCATCATCATCATCATCGCAGAGAAACACAAACATGATCAAAAACACTGATGCAGTTTTTAAAGAATTTATTTAGAAAAATAAAAAGTGCAGTTTGTGTTTCTATCCGAGGAATCCCACTTTCTGTCTGGATTTGCCGAGTTTCTCTTCCTGCTGCAGGAGCTCCATGAGCGGAGCGTGGAGGGCTTTCCCGACGCGCTTCCCCGTCTGAAGACCGAGCATTTGGAAAAGATGAAATGATACTTGTGCTTTTGCAGACTCAGCGTCTCAGACTCACCTCCGTCATCTCCATCACCGACTCTGGCTCCAGACTTCCTCCGCCCACTTTCCTGACGCAGGTCACGGCGCCCGTCTGTGTCACGGCCATCAGCACGCTGGCCACGGAGCACGCCTTCTCCGGGAGCGTGGCGTCCACCACGTGTCTGTGTCCCACCTGCAGCGGCAAACCGTAAGTACCATCGAGACCAGCGCAGACGGTAAGTACCATCGAGACCAGCACAGACGGTAAGTACCATCGAGACCAGCGCAGACGGTAAGTACCATCGAGACCAGCGCAGACGGTAAGTACCATCGAGACCAGCGCAGACGGTAAGTACCATCGAGACCAGCACAGACGGTAAGTACCATCGAGACCAGCGCAGACGGTAAGTACCATCGAGACCAGCGCAGACGGTAAGTACCATCGAGACCAGCACAGACGGTAAGTACCATCGAGACCAGCGCAGACGGTAAGTACCATCGAGACCAGCGCAGACGGTAAGTACCATCGAGACCAGCGCAGACGGTAAGTACCATCGAGACCAGCGCAGACGGTAAGTACCATCGAGACCAGCACAGACGGTAAGTACCATCGAGACCAGCGCAGACGGTAAGTACCATCGAGACCAGCGCAGACGGTAAGTACCATCGAGACCAGCGCAGACGGTAAGTACCATCGAGACCAGCGCAGACGGTAAGATACCATCGAGACCAGCGCAGACGGTAAGTACCATCGAGACCAGCACAGACGGTAAGTACCATCGAGACCAGCGCAGACGGTAAGTACCATCGAGACCAGCACAGACGGTAAGTACCATCGAGACCAGCGCAGACGGTAAGTACCATCGAGACCAGCGCAGACGGTACGTACCATCGAGACCAGCGCAGACCGTAAGTACCATCGAGACCAGCACAGACGGTAAGTACCATCGAGACCAGCGCAGACGGTAAGTACCATCGAGACCAGCGCAGACGGTAAGTACCATCGAGACCAGCGCAGACGGTAAGTACCATCGAGACCAGCGCAGACGGTAAGTACCATCGAGACCAGCGCAGACGGTAAGTACCATCGAGACCAGCGCAGACGGTAAGTACCATCGAGACCAGCGCAGACGGTAAGTACCATCGAGACCAGCGCAGACGGTAAGTACCATCGAGACCAGCACAGACGGTAAGTACCATCGAGACCAGCGCAGACGGTAAGTACCATCGAGACCAGCGCAGACGGTAAGTACCATCGAGACCAGCGCAGACGGTAAGTACCATCGAGACCAGCGCAGACGGTAAGTACCATCGAGACCAGCACAGACGGTAAGTACCATCGAGACCAGCGCAGACGGTAAGTACCATCGAGACCAGCGCAGACGGTAAGTACCATCGAGACCAGCACAGACGGTAAGTACCATCGAGACCAGCGCAGACGGTAAGTACCATCGAGACCAGCGCAGACGGTAAGTACCATCGAGACCAGAGGACCTGTACCGTCTGTACCTGTGCGTCTGTACCTGTGCGTCTGTACCTGTGCGCGTGTACCTGTGCGCTGTACCTGTGCGTCTGTACCTGTGCGTCTGTACCTGTGCGCCTGTACCTGTGCGCCTGTAACTGTGCGCCTGTACCTGTGCGCCTGTACCTGTGCGCCTGTACCTGTGCGTCTGTACCTGTGCGTCTGTACCTGTGCGTCTGTACCTGTGCGTCTGTACCTGTGCGTCTGTACCTGTGCGTCTGTACCTGTGCGCCTGTACCTGTGCGCCTGTACCTGTGCGCCTGTACCTGTGCGCCTGTACCTGTGCGCCTGTACCTGTGCGCCTGTACCTGTGCGTCTGTACCTGTGCGTCTGTACCTGTGCGTCTGTACCTGTGCGTCTGTACCTGTGCGTCTGTACCTGTGCGTCTGTACCTGTGCGCCTGTACCTGTGCGCCTGTACCTGTGCGCCTGTACCTGTGCGCCTGTACCTGTGCGCCTGTACCTGTGCGCCTGTACCTGTGCGCCTGTACCTGTGCGTCTGTACCTGTGCGTCTGTACCTGTGCGCCTGTACCTGTGCGCCTGTACCTGTGCGTCTGTACCTGTGCGCGTACCTGTACCTGTGTGCGCCTGTACCTGTGCGCCTGTACCTGTGCGTCTGTACCTGTGCGCCTGTACCTGTGCGCCTGTACCTGTGCGCCTGTACCTGTGCGCCTGTACCTGTGCGCCTGTACCTGTGCGCCTGTACCTGTGCGCCTGTACCTGTGCGCCTGTACCTGTGCGCCTGTACCTGTGCGTCTGTACCTGTGCGTCTGTACCTGTGCGCCTGTACCTGTGCGTCTGTACCTGTGCGTCTGTACCTGTGCGTCTGTACCTGTGCGTCTGTACCTGTGCGTCTGTACCTGTGCGCCTGTACCTGTGCGCCTGTACCTGTGCGCCTGTACCTGTGCGCTGTACCTGTGCGCCTGTACCTGTGCGCCTGTACCTGTGCGCCTGTACCTGTGCGCCTGTACCTGTGCGCTGTACCTGTGCCTGTACCTGTGCGCCTGTACCTGTGCGTCTGTACCTGTGCGCCTGTACCTGTGCGCCTGTACCTGTGCGCCTGTACCTGTGCGCCTGTACCTGTGCGTCTCTGTACCTGTGCGTCTGTACCTGTGCGTCTGTACCTGTGCGCCTGTACCTGTGCGCCTGTACCTGTGCGTCTGTACCTGTGCGCTGTACCTGTGCGCCTGTACCTGTGCGCCTGTACCTGTGCGCCTGTACCTGTGCGTCTGTACCTGTGCGCCTGTACCTGTGCGCCTGTACCTGTGCGCCTGTACCTGTGCGCCTGTACCTGTGCGCCTGTACCTGTGCGTCTGTACCTGTGTGCGTCTGTACCTGTGCGCCTGTACCTGTGCGCGTACCTGTGCGTCTGTACCTGTGCGCCTGTACCTGTGCGCCTGTACCTGTGCGTCTGTACCTGTGCGCCTGTACCTGTGCGTGCGTCTGTACCTGTGCGTCTGTACCTGTGCGTCTGTACCTGTGCGTCTGTACCTGTGCGTCTGTACCTGTGCGTCTGTACCCGTCTGTACCTGTGCGTCTGTACCTGTGCGTCTGTACCTGTGCGTCTGCTGTCGCTGTCCTGTACCTGTGAGCCCGTACCTTGCACACAGTGACGATGCAGGGAACATGGTCGACTCTGAGTCTGATGCAGTCGAAAGGATCATCTGAAAGTTCAATTTCTTTACTTCCTTCTTCATCGGAAGAAATGTGCACTTTAGGAATTCTACAACACAGACACACACACGTTTACACAACATTACACACACACGTTTACACAACATTACACACACAGACACACACACGTTTACACAACATTACACACACAGACACACACACGTTTACACAACATTACACACACAGACACACACACGTTTACACAACATTACACACACAGACACTCACACGTTTACACAACATTACACACACAGACACTCACACGTTTACACAACATTACACACACAGACACACACAGGTTTACACAACATTACACACACAGACACACACACACGTTTACACAACATTACACACAGACACACACACGTTTACACAACATTACACACACAGACACACACACGTTTACACATTACACACACAGACACTCACACGTTTACACAACATTACGCACACACGTTTACACAACATTACACACACAGACACACACACGTTTACACAACATTACACACACAGACACACACACACGTTTACACAACATTACACACACAGACACTCACACGTTTACACAACATTACACAAAGACACGTTTACACAACATTACACACACAGGTTTACACAACATTACACACAGACACACACACGTTTACACAACATTACACACACAGACACACACACGTTTACACAACATTACACACACACTCACACGTTTACACAACATTACACACACAGACACACACACGTTTACACAACATTACACACACAGACACACACGTTTACACAACATTACACACACAGACACACACACACACGTTTACACAACATTACATACCCAGACACACACACGTTTACACATTACACACCCAGACACACACACGTTTACACAACATTACACACACACGTTTACACAACATTACACACACAGACACTCACACACACGTTTACACAACATTACACACACAGACATTCACACACACGTTTACACAACATTACACACACAGACACACACACGTTTACACAACATTACACACACACGTTTACACAACATTACACACACAGACACTCACACACACGTTTACACAACATTACACACCCAGACACACACACACGTTTACACAACATTACACACACAGACACACACGTTTTACACACACAACATTACATTACACACAGACACACACACGTTTACACAACATTACACACACAGACACACACACGTTTACACAACATTACACACACACAGACACACGTTTACACAACATTACACACACAGACACACACACGTTTACACAACATTACACACAGACACACACACGTTTACACAACATTACACACACAGACACACACACACGTTTACACACACACGTTTACACAACATTACACACACAGACACACACATGTTTACACAACATTACACACACAGACACACACACGTTTACACAACATTACACACACAGACACACACATGTTTACACAACATTACACACACAGACACACACACACGTTTACACAACATTACACACAGACACTCACACTTTACACAACATTACACACACAGACACACACACGTTTACACAACATTACACACACAGACACACACACGTTTACACAACATTACACACACGTTTACACAACATTACACACACACACGTTTACACAACATTACACACAGACACACACACGTTTACACAACATTACACACAGACACTCACACGTTTACACAACATTACACACACAGACACACACACGTTTACACAACATTACACACACAGACACACACACGTTTACACAACATTACACACACAGACACACACACGTTTACACAACATTACACACACAGACACACACACGTTTACACAACATTACACACACAGACACACACACGTTTACACAACATTACACACACAGACACTCACACACGTTTACACAACATTACATACCCAGACACACACACGTTTACACATTACACACCCAGACACACACACGTTTACACAACATTACACACACAGACACACACACACGTTTACACATTACACACCCAGTTTACACACACACGTTACACACAACATTACACACACACGTTTACACAACATTACACACACAGACACTCACACACACGTTTACACAACATTACACACACAGACACACACACGTTTACACAACATTACACACACACGTTTACACAACATTACACACAGACACACACACACGTTTACACAACATTACACACACAGACACACACACACACGTTTACACAACATTACACACACAGACACACACACGTTTACACAACATTACACACACCACACACACACACGTTTACACAACATTACACACACAGACACACACACGTTTACACAACATTACACACACAGACACACACACGTTTACACAACATTACACACAGACACACACACGTTTACACAACATTACACACACAGACACACACACGTTTACACATTACACACACAACATTACACAACATTACACACACACACACACACACGTTTACACAAAATTACACACAGACACACACACGTTTACACAACATTACACACACAGACACACACACGTTTACACAACATTACACACACAGACACACACACGTTTACACAACATTACACACACAGACACACACACGTTTACACAACATTACACACACAGACACACACACGTTTACACAACATTACACACACAGACACACACACGTTTACACAACATTACACACACAGACACACACACGTTTACACAACATTACACACACAGACACACACACGTTTACACAACATTACACACACAGACACACACACGTTTACACAACATTACACACACAGACACACACACGTTTACACAACATTACACACACAGACACACACACGTTTACACAACATTACACACACAGACACACACACGTTTACACAACATTACACACACAGACACTCACACGTTTACACAACATTACACACACAGACACACACACGTTTACACAACATTACACACACAGACACACACATGTTTACACAACATTACACACACAGACACACACACGTTTACACAACATTACACACACAGACACACACACGTTTACACAACATTACACACACAGACACTCACACGTTTACACAACATTACACACAGACACACACACACGTTTACACAACATTACACACACAGACACACACACGTTTACACAACATTACACACACAGACACACACACGTTTACACAACATTACACACACAGACACTCACACGTTTACACAACATTACACACACACGTTTACACAACATTACACACACACAGACACACACACGTTTACACAACATTACACACACAGACACACACACACGTTTACACAACATTACACACACAGACACTCACACGTTTACACAACATTACACACAGACACGTTTACACAACATTACACACACAGACACACACACGTTTACACAACATTACACACAGACACACACACGTTTACACAACATTACACACACAGACACACACACGTTTACACAACATTACACACACACGTTTACACAACATTACACACACAGACACTCACACACACGTTTACACAACATTACACACACAGACATTCACACACACGTTTACACAACATTACACACACAGACACACACACGTTTACACAACATTACACACACACGTTTACACAACATTACACAGACAGACACACACGTTTACACAACATTACACACACAGACACACACACACGTTTACACAACATTACACACACAGACACACACACACGTTTACACAACATTACACACACAGACACACACACGTTTACACAACATTACACACAGACACACACACGTTTACACAACATTACACACAGACACACACGTTTACACAACATTACACACACAGACACACACACACACACGTTTACACAACATTACACACACAGACACACGTTTACACAACATTTACACACAGACACACACACGTTACACAACATTACACACAGACACACACACGTTTACACAACATTACACACACAGACACACACACACGTTTACACAACATTACACACACAGACACTCACACGTTTACACAACAACATTACACACACAGACACACACACACGTTTACACAACATTACACACACAGACACACACACGTTTACACAACATTACACACACAGACACACACACGTTTACACAACATTACACACACAGACACACACACGTTTACACAACATTACACACAGACACCACACGTTTACACACACACACGTTTACACAACATTACACACACAGACACACACACGTTTACACAACATTACACACACAGACACACACACGTTTACACAACATTACACACACAGACACACACACGTTTACACAACATTACACACACAGACACTCACACGTTTACACAACATTACACACACAGACACACACACGTTTACACAACAGTACACACACCGACACACACACGTTTACACATTACACACACAGACACACACACACGTTTACACAACATTACACACACAGACACTCACACGTTTACACAACATTACACACACACGTTTACACAACATTACACACACAGACACACACGCGTTTACACAACATTACACACACAGACACACACACGTTTACACAACATTACACACACAGACACTCACACGTTTACACAACATTACACACAGACACGTTTACACAACATTACACACACAGACACACACACGTTTACACAACATTACACACAGACACACACACGTTTACACAACATTACACACACAGACACACACACGTTTACACAACATTACACACACAGACACACACACATTTACACAACATTACACACACACTCACACGTTTACACAACATTACACACACAGACACACACACGTTTACACAACATTACACACACAGACACTCACACGTTTACACAACATTACACACACAGACACACACACACACGTTTACACAACATTACATACCCAGACACACACACGTTTACACATTACACACCCAGACACACACACGTTTACACAACATTACACACACACGTTTACACAACATTACACACACAGACACTCACACACACGTTTACACAACATTACACACACAGACATTCACACACACGTTTACACAACATTACACACACACGTTTACACAACATCACACACACAGACACACACACGTTTACACAACATCACACACACAGACACACACACGTTTACACAACATTACACACACAGACACACACACGTTTACACAACATTACACACACAGACACACACACACGTTTACACAACATTACACACACAGACACACACACACGTTTACATAACATTACACACACAGACACACACACGTTTACACAACATTACACACAGACACACACACGTTTACACAACATTACACACAGACACTCACACGTTTACACAACATTACACACACAGACACACACACACACACGTTTACACAACATTACACACACAGACACACGTTTACACAACATTATACACACAGACACACACACGTTTACACAACATTACACACAGACACACACACGTTTACACAACATTACACACACAGACACACACACGTTTACACAACATTACACACACGTTTACACAACATTACACACACAGACACACACACGTTTACACAACATTACACACACAGACACACACACGTTTACACAACATTACACACACAGACACACACACGTTTACATTACACACACAACATTACACACACACACAGACACACACACGTTTACACAACATTACACACACAGACACACACACGTTTACACAACATTACACACACAGACACACACACGTTACACACACTACACACACACGTTTACACAACATTACACACACAGACACACACACGTTTACACAACACTACACACACAGACACACACACGTTTACACAACATTACACACACAGACACACACACGTTTACACAACATTACACACAGACACACACACACGTTTACACAACATTACACACACAGACACACACACGTTTACACAACATTACACACACAGACACACACACGTTTACACAACATTACACACACAGACACACACACTTTACACAACATTACACAACACGTTTACACACACATTACACACACACACACACACGTTACACAACATTACACACACAGACACACACACGTTTACACAACATTACACACACGTTTACACAACATTACACACACAGACACACACACGTTTACACAACATTACACACACAGACACACACACGTTACACAACATTACACACACACACGTTTACACACATACACACACAGACACACACACGTTTACACAACATTACACACACAGACACACACACGTTTACACAACATTACACACACAGACACACACACGTTTACACAACACTACACACACACGTTTACACAACATTACACACACAGACACACACACGTTTACACAACATTACACACACAGACACACACACGTTTACACAACATTACACACACAGACACACACACGTTTTACACACACACGTTTTACACACACAGACACACACACGTTTACACAACATTACACACACAGACACACACACGTTTACACAACATTACACACACAGACACACACACGTTTACACAACATTACACACAGACACACACACGTTTACACAACATTACACACACAGACACACACACGTTTACACAACATTACACACACAGACACACACACGTTTACACAACATTACACACACAGACACACACACGTTTACACAACATTACACACACACGTTTACACAACATTACACACACAGACACACACACGTTTACACAACACTACACACACAGACACACACACGTTTACACAACATTACACACACAGACACACACACGTTTACACAACATTACACACAGACACACACACACGTTTACACAACATTACACACACAGACACACACACGTTTACACAACATTACACACACAGACACACACACGTTTACACAACATTACACACACAGACACACACACGTTTACACAACACTACACACACACGTTTACACAACATTACACACACAGACACACACACGTTTACACAACACTACACACACAGACACACACACATTTACACAACATTACACACACAGACACACACACGTTTACACAACATTACACACAGACACACACACGTTTACACAACATTACACACACAGACACTCACACGTTTACACAACATTACACACAGACACACACACGTTTACACAACATTACACACACAGACACACACACGTTTACACAACATTACACACACAGACACACACACGTTTACACAACATTACACACAGACACACACACGTTTACACAACATTACACACTCACTTGGTGCTGAACAGCGCTGCTTTGATGGCCACAGAGATGGCGTCGTACAGATTCCCGTCGCACTGAAGGAGCTGAACAAAACCAAAGGGATCATGTAACAGTTAGGCTAGCAACAGTTAGGCTAGCGACAGTTAGGCTAGCAACAGTTAGGCTAGCGACAGTTAGGCTAGCCACAGTTAGGCTAGCCACAGTTAGGCTAGCCACAGTTAGGCTAGCCACAGTTAGGCTAGCCACAGTTAGGCTAGTAACTTCCAAACTAGAACTCTCTGGAACTGCATGAAAACTGAACACAGAATCCTGAACATCAGCGGTGAGTGACCCAAACATAAACGTAATATAAATCCATAATTCCATCCTCTGCAAATGTTCCTAAAATGTCCTGGAATCTACAGTGCCTTGCGAAAGTATTCGGCCTTTCAACATTTCAGACTTCAAACATAAAGATATAAAATTTTAATTTTTTGTCATGAATCAACAACAAGTGGGACACAATCGTGAAGTGGAACGAAATTTATTGGATAATTTAAACTTTTTTAACAAATAAAAAACTGAAAATTGGGGCGTGCAATATTATTGGGCCCCTTTACTTTCAGTGCAGCAAACTCAGTCCAGAAGTTCAGTGAGGATCTTTGAATGATCCAATGTTGTCCTAAATGACTGATGATGATAAATAGAATGCACCTGTGTGTAATCAAGTCTCCGTATAAATGCACCTGCTCTTTGATAGTCTCAGGGTTCTGTTTAAAGCACAGAGAGAACCATGAAGACAAAGGAACACACCAGGCAGGTCCGAGATACTGTTGTGGAGAAGTTTAAAGCCGGATTTGGATACAAAAAGATTTCCCAAGCTTTAAACATCTCAAGGAGCACTGTGCAAGCAATTATATTGAAATGGAAGGAGTATCAGACCACTGCAAATCTACCAAGACCCGGCCGTCCCTCCAAACTTTCATCTCAAACAAGGAGAAGACGGATCAGAGATGCAGCCAAGAGGCCCATGATCACTCTGGATGAACTGCAGATAACTACAGCTGAGGTGGGAGAGTCTGTCCATAGGACAACAATCAGTCGTGCACTGCACAAATCTGGCCTTTATGGAAGAGTGGCAAGAAGAAAGCCATTTCTCAAAGATATCCATAAAAAATCTCGTTTAAAGTTTGCCACAAGCCACCTGGGAGACACACCAAACATGTGGAAGAAGGTGCTCTGGTCAGATGAAACCAAAATCAAACTTTTTGGCCACAATGCAAAACGATATGTTTGGCGTAAAAGCAACACAGCTCATCACCCTGAACACACCATCCCCACTGTCAAACATGGTGGTGGCAGCATCATGCTTTGGGCCTGCTTTTCTTCAGCAGGGACAGGGAAGATGGCTAAAATTGATGGGAAGATGGATGGAGCCAAATACAGGACCATTCTGGACGAAAACCTGTTGGAGTCTGCAAAAGACCTGAGACTGGGACGGAGATTTATCTTCCAACAGGACAATGATCCAAAACATAAAGCCAAATCTACAATGGAATGGTTCACAAATAGACGTATCCAGGTGTTAGAATGGCCAAGTCAAAGTCCAGACCTGAATCCAATCGAGAATCTGTGGAAAGAGCTGAAGACTGCTGTTCACAAACGCTCTCCATCCAACCTCACTGAGCTCCAGCTGTTTTGCAAGGAAGAATGGGAAAGAATTCCAGTCTCTCGATGTGCAAAACTGATAGAGACATACCCCAAGCGACTTGCAGCTGTAATTGCAGCAAAAGGTGGCGCTACAAAGTATTAGCGCAAGGGGCCGAATAATATTGCACGCCCCACTTTTCAGTTTTTTATTTGTTAAAAAAGTTTAAATTATCCAATAAATGTCGTTCCACCTCACGATTGTGTCCCACTTGTTGTTGATTCATGACAAAAAAATAAATTTTTATATCTTTATGTTTGAAGCCTGAAATGTGGAGAAATGTTGAAAGGTTCAAGGGGGCCGAATACTTTCGCAAGTCACTGTATAGTGCAGGAGTTATATACTGTACATATAGGACAGGAGTTATATACTGTACATATAGACAGGAGTTATATACTGTACATATAGACAGGAGTTATATACTGTACATATAGGACAGCGTTATATACTGTACATATAGTGCAGGAGTTATATACTGTACATATAGGACAGGAGTTATATACTGTACATATAGGACAGCGTTATATACTGTACATATAGGACAGTGTTATATACTGTACATATAGACAGGAGTTATATACTGTACATATAGACAGGAGTTATATACTGTACATATAGACAGGAGTTATATACTGTACATATAGACAGGAGTTATATACTGTACATATAGGACAGGAGTTATATACTGTACATATAGACAGGAGTTATATACTGTACATATAGGACAGGAGTTATATACTGTACATATAGGACAGGAGTTATATACTGTACATATAGACAGGAGTTATATACTGTACATATAGGACAGAGTTATATACTGTACATATAGGACAGAGTTATATACTGTACATATAGGACAGAGTTATATACTGTACATATAGGACAGAGTTATATACTGTACATATAGGACAGGAGTTATATACTGTACATATAGACAGGAGTTATATACTGTACATATAGACAGGAGTTATATACTGTACATATAGACAGGAGTTATATACTGTATATATAGGACAGGAGTTATATACTGTACATATAGGACAGAGTTATATACTGTACATATAGGACAGGAGTTATATACTGTACATATAGAACAGGAGTTATATACTGTACATATAGGACAGGAGTTATATACTGTACATATAGGACAGAGTTATATACTGTACATATAGGACAGGAGTTATATACTGTACATATAGGACAGGAGTTATATACTGTACATATAGGACAGGAGTTATATACTGTACATATAGGACAGGAGTTATATAATGTACATATAGGACAGGAGTTATATACTGTACATATAGGACAGGAGTTATATACTGTACATATAGGACAGGAGTTATATACTGTACATATAGGACAGGAGTTATATACTGTACATATAGGACAGGAGTTATATACTGTACATATAGGACAGGAGTTATATAATGTACATATAGGACAGGAGTTATATACTGTACATATAGGACAGAGTTATATACTGTACATATAGGACAGGAGTTATATACTGTACATATAGGACAGGAGTTATATACTGTACATATAGGACAGGAGTTATATACTGTACATATAGACAGGAGTTATATACTGTACATATAGACAGGAGTTATATACTGTACATATAGGACAGGAGTTATATACTGTACATATAGAATTAAATTTGTATATCTTTATGTTTGAAACCTGAAATGTGGCGAAATGTTGACAGGTTCAAGGGGGCCGAATACTTTCGCAAGGCACTGTACTTCCGGGTTTTTCAGGATTGCTTTTTCTCGCATTCAAACATTATTTTTGTCATGAAAACGTGAACAGATACTTCTGAAAACCTCAGCGCACGTGTGTAAAGAATGTTTATGTATAAAGTATTCTCACGTTAACATTTAAATGTGTTGATTAAATTTGTGTTTAATGAGCGCGGCTAGCTCCAGAGTGGCTAGCTCCAGAGTGGCTAGCTCCAGAGTGGCTAGCTCCAGAGTGGCTAGCTCCGGAGTGGCCGGAACTACTTGCGGAGTAATCTACACACATGAATTACAAACACAGAGTGCGTTGCCAAAGGGCAGCGGTCATTATTGTTTTGAGAGGTCGGTTATCAAGAAATAATGATCTGTAGAACGTTTTGAAATGACATCAACGGTTCTGCTGCTGTGAGTCATGAGTTACTTTAATGTTCTGTTCTTCATAATCTGTGCTACACTGATATAATCTGTGCTACACTAATACAATCTGTGCTACACTAATATAATCTGTGCTACACTAATACAATCTGTGCTATACTAATATAATCTGTTCTACACTGATATAATCTGTGCTACACTAATATAATCTGTGCTACACTGATATAATCTGTGCTACACTGATATAATCTGTGCTACACTGATATAATCTGTGCTACACTGATATAATCTGTGCTACACTGATATAATCTGTGCTACACTGATATAATCTGTGCTACACTAATATAATCTGTGCTACACTGATATAATCTGTGCTACACTGATATAATCTGTGCTACACTGATATAATCTGTGCTACACTGATATAATCTGTGCTACACTAATATAATCTGTGCTACACTAATATAATCTGTGCTACACTGATATAATCTGTGCTACACTAATATAATCTGTGCTACACTGATATAATCTGTGCTACACTGATATAATCTGTGCTACACTGATATAATCTGTGCTACACTAATATAATCTGTGCTACACTGATATAATCTGTGCTACACTAATATAATCTGTGCTACACTAATATAATCTGTGCTACACTGATATAATCTGTGCTACACTGATATAATCTGTGCTACACTAATATAATCTGTGCTACACTAATACAATCTGTGCTACACTGATATAATCTGTGCTACACTGATATAATCTGTGCTACACTGATATAATCTGTGCTACACTAATATAATCTGTGCTACACGGATATAATCTGTGCTACACTGATATAATCTGTGCTAAACTGATATAATCTGTGCTACACTGATATAATCTGTGCTACACTAATACAATCTGTGCTACACTGATATAATCTGTGCTACACTGATATAATCTGTGCTACACTAATATAATCTGTGCTACACTGATATAATCTGTGCTACACTGATATAATCTGTGCTACACTGATATAATCTGTGCTACACTGATATAATCTGTGCTACACTAATATAATCTGTGCTACACTGATCCGCTCTGAACCGTGATGTATTAATCTAGTCCAGAGTTTATTCTGTAACAAACTGACTTTATTATATTATAAAACATAAGCGATGCTGAGTCAGTTTTATAATTCCATCCATCCATCCATTGTCTTCCCCTTAATCCATTTCTGGGTCGGGGGGTGGCAGTCAGAGCACCAGCCTCTCACTGATCCTCCTGCAGGAGCTGAGTCCACAGGAGCTGAGATCTTTCAGTGGGGGCTTCAGGCAAAGTGGGGTTAAGTGTCTTGCCCAAGGACACAACGACAGCAGTCATCAGTGGGAGTTGTGAAGTAGGTCTTATGGTGGGCTCGAACCCACGACCTTCAGGCCCAAAGGCCAATGCTCTACCAACTGAGCTACTGTCGTTTTATAATTGTAAAGGTAAAACTTTATTCCTCCTCTGCATTTGACCCAGATGCCCTGAGGCTGACGTCAGGAGCGGTGGTCGCCGTAGTAACAGCGCCGGGAACCCATCTCCAGATGTTGCTCTGGGTCAGGACCAGAGCTGGAGGACTTAAAGACCTTATGACGGGTTTTAAAAAAAAAAATAGTGGATATCAAAATTGCATGACAATGTCAATTTGAAAGAGATTCCGGCAAAAAAAATCCTATATTTTATAAAAAGAACGTGTTTTTCATGAATTTAAGTTGTCTATGCTCTAACCTGTGTGTGACGTCACAGCGGGTTACGCCCATGCATTGAAAACCATGGATCTATGCCACAGGACTGCCTTTTCTCTCTTCTCTCCACTGATGCCCAACACAATACTGCCCTCTACAGGTGACAATTGCTCACTACACATAAATTGACGTTTTGAGAGTGAAAAAGTGTCTGAGGTGGGATTTGAACCCAAGTATCTGGATTGACAGTCCATCGACACAACCACTGGACTATCTCAGTGCCAACGAAGAGTTATAATCTAGTATTTATGTTAGACTCACTGTACACGGCCTTGTCATCTTGAATATCCGCGAAAAAAGAACGAATACCAAATTGTAAACAACTTACAGCGTTGAAACGTACCCACTCTGACGTCACCAAGGGCTGTGAAGTTTTTTCGTCTCTAAGGGCGTTGCTATGGGGTTATTTCGATTTGGGGGGATCAGACAAAAAAAACAACTGATTTTGAAACCTTTAGTAGTTCTCTTCTAATATAAAATGGTATTAAAACTGTATTTCTAAATAAATCAAACCCGTCATAAGGTCTTTAACCTATTGTGCATGTTTTTAGTGGTAGGGGAAACCGGAGTACCCGGAGGAAACCTACGCAGGCACGGGGAGAACATGCAAACTCCACTCAGAAAGACCCTGTTCCGACCGGGATTTGAACCCAGGAGAGAGTGCTAACCACAGCCACCGTGTTTAAGGCATTGGTTTAAAGATGAAGAACCAACTTTTCTTCATAAATACATTTAGTTTGTCCCAAAATCTGAGACTGGTGTCAAAGTGAGGACTACAGAAGGACATGGGTTTTATCCCAACTGCTTTAGTATTCATTAGTCTGTTTTTAAGAACCTCAGGTGTGTTCAATAATGATGTGAGCGTTTAAAGTAATGTTTCTTAAATCCACAGTTTTATCCCAAAAGTGACTAAAAACAGCAAATACTGAAGATTCTTTGTTTGTCAAAAAGCTGCACTTAAAAGAACAGAAGGACAGAGGTTCGAGTCTCACCAGGACGTCTACATAAAGAACAGCAGGACAGAGGTTCGAGTCTCACCAGGACGTCTACATAAAGAACAGAAGGACAGAGGTTCGAGTCTCACCAGGACGTCTACATAAAGAACAGCAGGACAGAGGTTCGAGTCTCACCAGGACGTCTAAATAAAGAACAGAAGGACAGAGGTTCGAGTCTCACTAGGACGTCTACATAAAGAACAGAAGGACAGAGGTTTGAGTCTCACCAGGACGTCTACATAAAGAACAGAAGGACAGAGGTTCGAGTCTCACCAGGACGTCCACATAAAGAACAGAAGGACAGAGGTTCTAGTCTCACCAGGACGTCTACATAAAGAACAGAAGGACAGAGGTTCTAGTCTCACCAGGACGTCTACATAAAGAACAGAAGGACAGAGGTTCTAGTCTCACCAGGACGTCTACATAAAGAACAGAAGGACAGAGGTTCGAGTCTCACCAGGACGTCTACATAAAGAACAGCAGGACAGAGGTTCTAGTCTCACCAGGACGTCTACATAAAGAACAGAAGGACAGAGGTTCGAGTCTCACCAGGACGTCTACATAAAGAACAGCAGGACAGAGGTTCGAGTCTCACCAGGACGTCTACATAAAGAACAGAAGGACAGAGGTTCTAGTCTCACCAGGACGTCTACATAAAGAACAGAAGGACAGAGGTTCTAGTCTCACCAGGACGTCCACATAAAGAACAGAAGGACAGAGGTTCGAGTCTCACCAGGACGTCCACATACAGGACCCAGCAGTGCTCTCCTCGCAGGATGCTCAGACTCTTCAGATCGATGCTGTGTTTGTTGTTGAACACTTTGTAGAGAGTGTTGCTGAGTTCGGTGCCCAGCTCCTCTCCTCCTCTGCCCTCGAACTCTGGAGTCGCATTGGCCGAGCTGCACACAACACATTTATTCTTTCATTGTTCCATAAATATCTTTACAAATGTATTGTTTTGACCAAGATCTCAAAAATACAGAAAAACTCAAATGAACATGAAGTAAGATTTTCTAAGTGAAACTGTTTATGATGAGGATACGGAAAAGTACATTTGTCACATTTATTTCCTAAAAATAACATATGATGCTTATTTTTTTCCTGAATGTAGTTTGTCATAAGATTATTTTACTAGTTTTAAGATAATAATACTTCATAATCAAAAAGTCTGAGCAGTGAGTTTTTAAGCTTGCATTTCTATTGTATTTATGTATTTTGTATTATTTCCATATATTTTCCAGTGGAGGCTCGTGATGATGCAAGAGGAGATTCTTTTCTGCATTAAAGAAATGCCACAATACTGCCCCCTGCTGGTGGAAGCCCAGTCCTTAATGTTGTAAGAATATGAACATTGTAACATCTTTTCATATCAAAGGGTTTTTACTAGTGCTGTCCAACGATTAAAATATTTAATCGCGATTAATCGCATGAATTTCATAGTTAACTCGCGATTAATCGCAAATTAGTCACCCATTTGCGTGCGGTGTGCAATTTCTTTTTTTATTGAAAACAATGTGTAGTGTTATATTACACACTAACATTTGATGCAAAATCATCAATAAATGGATGACAAAATAAATAATTGGTAACAAAAAGCCCCTTCAATGTGTGTGTGTGTGGAGTGTGTGTGTTTATGGGTGTGGGTGTGTGTGTGTGTGTGGGTGTGTGTGTGTATGTGTGGGTATAGACCATAGACTGTATAGAAACATCATGGTGTCATTATGATGATGATAAACAATTTTTTTGTAAATTTGTTCATGTAAATACTCTATAGTGTTTCTCAGTTTACTTTCGGTATATCTATGACTGTATACTGTTTGCTTGTATTGCCTTTTTTATTAACCCCTCCCCCCATCTCCCACTTCATGTCCCCCCCCCCCTCCTATGTGCCCTTCTGGGTTTCTTCTTTGGCCCCCTGTATCTCCAACTACATATTGTTTGTAATCTCTGTCTACAATGTATCTTAACTAGTCCTTTTCTTTGTGTCTATTTTTTTTCTGTATATGTGTTTGTCTGCAATAAAAAGTAAAAAAAAAAAAATAATAAAAAAAAAAATTTTTTTTTTTTTTTTTAATAATTATAAAAAAAATTAATGGCGATAAAAAAAATGACGCCGTTAATATTGATTTGCGTTAACGCGTTAATAACGCGATATTTTGGACAGCACTAGTTTTTATCACTAACAACTGTTGCCATCAGCTCAGATGTTCCCACCTGCTTCTGGACCACTGCAGTGAGTCAGACTCACCAGTCCACAAAGAACTCTAGAAATCCTTCGTCTGGCAACATGGGCCGTGGTTTTCCTATTTCAGCCTTGACCCCAACGAGGACCGCGGTGTGTCCCTGAAGTGGGACAAAGAGGACGTTAAAGATCAAAACAAATACATGACATTCCTTTGAGCTGCTGACTTTGTTTATGATTATTCTGTCAAAATAACTACTTTATGCCACTTTATAAAAGAAGTATATTCATTAAATCAAAAAGGAAGCGGTGTGAGAGAACCAAGTCATATTATCAATGGAACCCTCTGGAGCTAAAGCTTCATGTTCAAATCAATTTGTTGGTCATAAATCAGCAGCTGTCTCAGGACTTCACAAAGTTGTTGATTCACTAAAAACAGAGAATCAAACAGTTGGAACACAGAACATGAAACACATAGGAGCCATTGGGAGGTGAAAGATCAATCGAGCCTATTTCTGATCAATACTTCTTTGATAAGACAATAATCCAGTGTTGCTTTTACCAGAGTGACTTTGGCAGATCCGTCTGTATTGGACACAACATCAGTTTCTATTTCCATGTGTCTGTAGTCCTCACAGCCTCTGCCGTCCACCCGCAGGTCGTCCTGAAACACATCACAGATGTCAGAGAAGAATCACTGACACATGGAACATAAACACGGCCCTGGTTCTGACCCTGATTCCGTGCAGAATGTAGACTTTTTCAGCCTCGCTCACTTGAACTGTTGCCATTCTGTAAAAAACAAAACAGCAGCAGCGTGTGTCGCGGAGATTCTACGTCATCAACAAACGACCGGAGACAAGGGGCGTGGCAGGTTTCAAAATATAAAATAAACAAACTAAATACAGTACGTTACGGAACAGAATCTTAACCACGAATGTGATCGATTACGATCATGTCAGAGACATATACATCAAACATCAACATTATTCATGTCTTTGCCTCAGGTCTGTTTGTGAATGAATGAAAATGATTAAATGAACATGCAAGTAAGACCATTAATAAACAATCTATTATCTATTTTACACAGGATCAGTAAAAAAAAAAGTCTGTCCCAGCAGGAGGCCAGTCCTGTGGCTCCTCAGAGTGACCCAGCAGGAGTTCCATATCCCTGTGCTCCTCAGAGTCCATGTCCCAGCAGGAGGCCAGTCCCTGTGCTCCTCAGAGTCCCAGCAGGAGTCCCAGCAGGAGGCCAGTCCCTGTGTCCAGACTCCTCAGAGTCCCAGCAGGAGTCCCGTCCCTGTGCTCCTCAGAGTCCCAGCAGGAGGCCAGTCCCTGTGCTCCTCAGAGTCCAGCAGGAGTCCAGTCCCTGTGCTCCTCAGAGTCCCAGCAGGAGGCCAGTCCCCTGTGCTCCTCAGAGGCCCCAGCAGGAGTCCAGTTCCCTGTGCTCCTCAGAGTCCAGCAGGAGGCCAGTCCCTGTGCTCCTCAGAGTCCCAGCAGGAGGCCAGTCCCTGTGCTCCTCAGAGTCCCAGCAGGAGTCCAGTCCCTGTGCTCCTCAGAGTCCCAGCAGGAGTCAGTCCCTGTGCTCCTCAGAGTCCCAGCAGGAGTCCAGTCCCTGTGCTCCTCAGAGTCCCAGCAGGGAGTCCAGTCCCTGTGCTCCGCAGAGTCCCAGCAGAGTCCAGTCCCCTGTGATCTATAAATGAATATGAATAAAACATGGAGACAGACAACTATTTTTATGAACCCATTTTGAATTAAATATTGATGTGTTTTGTGAACAACGCAGTTTGTTGTGGTTTAGTTTAAAAGGAAAATAACACAATCTAATGTAATTTGTCTCCTTTAGGAACTGGTATTATTTTTCAACATGAACATTGAAGTAGCGCCTGACATGCGCCTGACAGACCAAACTCAGGGAAAAAGAAGAAGACGAAACCAAACGCAGGGAAAATGTTTGGCTAAAAGCGCACACTTCCTGGTTGTCTGCTGCGTGTTGTTGTACATTTATCGGCAATATTTCATTTTTGGAACCTTCCAAAACTGAAATCAACAAAACGGAACTAAACATTTTTAAAGTGTGTCGTTTTCCCGCGGACAGGAGGGATTTCTCTGCCGCAGCTCGACCCAGAGAAGACGGAGAGAGTGGAGCCGCTGCAGCGGGGGAGACATTAGCCTTGATCGGGGACAGAGAGGACCAGGAGGACCAGGAGGAGCAGGAGGACCAGGAGGACCAGGAGGAGCAGGAGGAGCAGGAGGACCAGGAGACCAGGAGACCAGGAGACCAGGAGGACCAGGACACCAGGAGGACTTTCTTCATCTGAGGACTCTCTGGACACCAGAGGAGAATGAGGTTTCTTGGCTTATTATGTTTTTACTGAAGCTTAAAAACACAAATGTCCAGAAAGATCCATTTCCTCATCGTTGACATTGATATTTTTTATCTTCAATGGCCTTTATTTACCTGTAAATATGTGTGATTAAACAATAGCAATAATGTATTTTGATTGGCTTAAGGTCACGTGGACAGGTAAAGGTGTGCGACAATTATCGGTCTTTTGTACTGTATTCATTTTTTCATTCATTTTTTTTTTAACATATAATTACATACGGACAGACTGTCTTTGCTTTTACTGATGAGATGCCCCACATTATGTGATTTATAATTGTTGTGAGAGGAAGTATACATATTTAAATTCAACTTAATCTCAAATAATTTCTTAGACTTTTAGACAACTTTTTAGAGCTGAAGATCTTGGCTGGAGCCTGTAAGAGACTGTTAGATGTTTGCTCAGGTAGAAGAGTTCTGTCCTCTACACTTCACTTGCGCCTCCCACACCCTGTTGGAGTAATGTCGAGGTAATGTCGGAGTAATGTCGGGGTAATGTCGAGGTAATGTCGGAGTAATGTCGGGGTAATGTCGGGGTAATGACGAGGTAATGTCGGAGTAATGTCGGAGTAATGTCGGAGTAATGTCGGGGTAATGTCGAGGTAATGTCGGAGTAATGTCGGGTAAGCGGAGTAATGTCGGAGTAATGTCGGAGTAAATGTCGGGGTAATGTCGAGTAGGTCGGAGTAATGTCGGGTAATGAGTAAAGTCGGAGTAAAGTCGGAGTAATGTCGGAGTAATGTCGGAGTAATGTCGGAGTAATGTCGGTAATGTCGGAGTAATGTCGGAGTAATGTCGAGGTAATGTCGAAGTAATGTCGAGGTAATGTTGAGGTAATGTCGGAGTAATGTTGAGGTAATGTCGGAGTAATGTTGAGGTAATGTCGGAGTAATGTTGAGGTAATGTCGGAGTAATGTTGAGGTAATGTCTGAGTAATGTTGAGGTAATGTCGGAGTAATGTTGAGGTAATGTCGGAGTAATGTTGAGGTAATGTCGGAGTAATGTTGAGGTAATGTTGGAGTAATGTCGGAATAAAGTCGGAGTAATGTTGAGGTAATGTCGGAGTAATGTTGAGGTAATGTCGGAGTAATGTCGAAGTAATGTCGGAGTAATGTCGAGGTAATGTCGGAAGTGAGTAATGTTGAGGTAATGTCGGAGTAATGTTGAGGTAATGTCGGAGTAATGTTGAGGTAATGTCGGAGTAATGTTGAGGTAATGTCGGAGTAATGTTGAGGTAATGTCGGAGTAATGTTGAGGTAATGTCGAGGTAATGTTGGAGTAATGTCAGAGTAAAGTCGGAGTAATGTTGAGGTAATGTCGGAGTAATGTCGGAGTAATGTCGGAGTAATGTCGAAGTAATGTCGGAGTAATGTCGAGGTAATGTCGGAGTAATGTTGAGGTAATGTCGGAGTAATGTTGAGGTAATGTCGGAGTAATGTTGAGGTAATGTCGAGGTAATGTCGAGTAATGTTGAGTAATGTCGGAGTAATGTTGAGGTAATGTCGGAGTAATGTTGAGGTAATGTCGGAGTAATGTTGAGGTAATGTCGGAGTAATGTTGAGGTAATGTTGAGGTAATGTCGGAGTAATGTTGAGGTAATGTCGGAGTAATGTTGAGGTAATGTTGAGGTAATGTTGGAGTAATGTCGGAGTAATGTCGGAGTAATGTTGAGGTAATGTCGGAGTAATGTGAGGTAATGTCGGAGTAATGTCGAGTAATGTCGAGGTAATGTCGGAGTAATGTTGAGGTAATGTCGGAGTAATGTTGAGGTAATGTCGGAGTAATGTCGAGTAATGTTGAGGTAATGTCGGAGTAATGTTGAGGTAATGTCGGAGTAATGTTGAGGTAATGTCGGAGTAATGTTGAGGTAATGTCGGAGTAATGTTGAGGTAATGTCGGAGTAATGTTTGTGAGTAATGTCGAGTATGTTCGATGAGTAATGTCGGAGTAATGTTGAGGTAATGTTGAGGTAATGTTGGAGTAATGTCGGAGTAAAGTCGGAGTAATGTTGAGGTAATGTCGGAGTAATGTTGAGGTAATGTCGGAGTAATGTCGAAGTAATGTCGGAGTTATGTCGAGGTAATGTCGGAGTAATGTCGGAGTAATGTCGGGTAATGTCGGAGTAATGTCGGAGTAATGTCGAGGTAATGTCGGAGTAATGTCGAGGTAATGTCGAGGTAATGTCGGAGTAATGTCGGAGTAATGTCGGAGTAATGTCGGGGTAATGTCGAGGTAGTGTCGGAGTAATGTCTGAGTAAAGTCTGAGTAAAGTGAGTAAAGTCTGAGTAAAGTGAGTAATGTCGGAGTAATGTCGGGGTAATGTCGAGGTAATGTCGGAGTAATGTCGAGGTAATGTCGAGGTAATGTCGGAGTAATGTCGGAGTAATGTCGAGGTAATGTCGGAGTAATGTTGAGGTAATGTCGGAGTAATGTTGAGGTAATGTCGGAGTAAAGTCGGAGTAATGTCGAAGTAATGTCGGAGTAATGTCGGAAGTAGATGTCGGAGTAATAGTAAGTAAGTAAGTTTTCATTTATATACCGCCTTTTCACTGCAGATCTGAGTCTCAAAGCGGTTTACAATTGTTAATTTTGGGCATTTGTCTCTCACTCCACACAGAGATGGGAGCGGGGTCGCCAGTACAGGAAGCGCATGCCAGAACTATTGGACATATTTTTAGTGGTAGGGGAAACCGGAGTACCCGAGGAAACCTACGCAGACACGGGGAGAACATGCAAACTCCACTCAGAAAGGCCCTGGTCCGACCGGGATTCGAACCCAGGACCTTCTTGCTGAGAGGCGAGAGTGCTATCCACTCAGCCACCGTGCCGCCCGTAATGTTGAGGTAATGTCAGAGTAATGTTGAGGTAATGTCGGAGTAATGTCGAGGTAATGTCGGAGTAATGTCGAGGTAATGTCGGAGTAATGTTGAGGTAATGTCGGAGTAATGATTGAGGTAATGTTGAGGTAATGTTGAGTAATGTCGGAGTAAGTCGAGTAATGTCGGAGTAATGTTGAGGTAATGTCGGAGTAATGTCGAAGTAATGTCGGAGTAATGTCGAGGTAATGTCGGAGTAATGTCGGAAGTAATGTTGAGGTAATGTCGGAGTAATGTTGAGTAATGTCAGAGTAATGTTGAGGTAATGTCGGAGTAATGTCGGAGTATGTCAAGGTAATGTCGAGGTAAGGTCGAGGTAATGTCGGAGTAATGTCGAGTGATGTCGGAGTAATGTCGAGATGTTGGAGTAAGTCGAGGTAATGTCGAGGTAATGTCGGAGTAATGTCGAGGTAATGTCGGAGTAATGTCGAGTATGTCGAGTAATGTCGAGTAATGTCGAGTATGTCGAGGTAATGTCGGAGTAATGTCGAGTAATGTCGAGGTAATGTCGGAGTAATGTCGGAGTAAT